GAAACGCTGGCTGTCCCCTCTGGGCAGCCCGTGCTGCATGGGGAGTGCAGGACCCAAACAGCCGCATGCTCCCCCATGGCAGCCTGGCTGAGCGGTGCAGAAGGCAGCCGAGCGCCACGGTGGGAGGCAAAGGGGGCGGGGCAGTGATGTGCACACCCAGGGGGTGGGGCCTACATGAGTGTGCATCCCCGTCGGAGAGCGGAGAGAGTGAGAGGCAGGAGAGGGAGGAGAGAGAGAGACGGAGAGAGAGGCAGAAGGCAGAGGAGAGCTGAGAGAGAGAAGGGGGGGCAGGAGGAGGAGGGGAGAGAGGCGGAGTGAGAGACCGGAGGCTCAGGAGAGAAGACCGACATGGGACGTGGAGAAGAGACCTGAAAATCCCGTCTTGTGACGGGCTAATTGGCTAGTAGTCAATAAGTCATGGATTGAAATAGACTCAGGGATTTTCCCTGGACTGTAATTCTTAGTTACAAAAGAACAGAGAAAAACAATTAACCAGCTCAGACATGATTTCCAAACTCCCAAACAAGGAAAACAATAAAAGCAGACGGACTATCTAAACTTTTCCCTACTTACACATTTTAATGAATTCAAGGCGTCTGTTCCTGGGAGAGTCTGTCTCTCCTGCTACCTGGGGAAAAATCGTGCTTGCTCCAAAACAAAGGGAAAAAAACCTTTCTCTTTGAAATTCCTTATCTGCATTTCATTGGCTGAATGCCCAAAGCCCCCTCCCTCAGGTGCATCTCCACACTTAGCTTAACCCTTTCCTCGCTCTCTAGGTAAGCCAGACTCTCCTGCAGCTCCTATTCATGACACTCCCCAAAGCTCCTTGTGTTCCCAACCAGCTGCCAGAATCTCCCCGATTCTCCCTTACCTCTCCTTCAAGGCAAGTGCCAATAAGTCTGCAGTACACTAGAAAACGCTGGGGCCAAGTCAGATGGTCTGTCTTACAACTGGGGCTACGTCTAGACTTCATCCCTCTGTCGACAGAGGGATGCAAATCAAGCATATTGAAATTGCTAATGAAGCAGGGATTGAAATATCCCGCGCTTCATTAGCATAAACATGGCCACCGCTTTTTTGTGTGAAACGGAGCTTTTTCGGAAAAAAATGGCAGTGTAGACGTGGATCTGTCGAAAATAAAGCCTTTTTCGACACATCCTGTATTCCTCAAAAGATGAGGTTTACAGAATCTGTCGTCAAAGGGGTTATTTTCGACAGATCTGTGTCTAGACTGCCTTTTGTGTGTGTGTGTGAGTGAAAAAGCTTCGTTTCGAAAAAAAGCAGGGGCCATGTTTATGCTAATGAACCTCAGGATATTTAAATCCCTGCTTCATTAGTAATTTCGACGTGCCTAGTCTACATCGCTCTGTTGCCAGAGGTGTAGTCTAGACACAGCCTGAGAGTGCCAATCTCAGGACAGACTGTGAGAAACCTGAGATGGGGGCGGGAGGGTTCTGCAGTTAGATCTCCCCATGCCGAGAAGGGCGCGCTCCTTGGTCACTAGGTCCCTCCAGGGAGCCCCAGTCGCCTGAAGCTCTCCAGCCCTCTTTACCAGCCAGACAAACTGGACTCAGTGACAGTTAATAACCCCCCAAATCTCCTCACATTAGGTAGTTCCCAACCCCCAGAGTTACTTGCACCAGGTCAATGGATGCTTTGGATCGCACACCAAAGACAACGCTGTCGGCTAGTTTCTCTAGCAAATACCCAAAGCTTTTAGTAGTTAACCATTAGACTGGGGAGGTTAAAGCAGATACAATCTATTCACAGGGGGTCGAGGTTTGTAAGTCTCAGGGCTCCCCGGCATTGCTCTGGGGGTCTCTGTCCACTGGTTGAGTACTCCACCTCTTGGAGTCCACACTGGTTCAGAGGTGCAGGATCGTCCCGCTCCCAGAAAACGAGTTGACAGCTTCGGGAGCTGTTGTTGACTCGGAGACTCTTCCTTTGGCGTTAGCCTTCTGCTTCTTTCCATTCCCAAGTGATTTAGCTGCAGTGACACACAATGCAATGGCCTGCTATTCCATTCTAGCAGGGACCGGCAAGTCAAGCCATACAGATCCCATTCCTTACTTCTCATGAGGCTGACACGCCGCGGAAATTCTCACTAACACACTTGTGATGTGGGGTAGATGATACATAATGCTCTGAAATTGTAAACAGGTGAGTGAAGACAATACGCCCGGCACTTCACTCGTTCTCATGCGTTTAGAGAAAATGTACTTACAGGGCATGTGCCGTGTCAATGCAGCAGGACAGCAGCCCCCTTTGTGAACTGGCTTGAACACACCGGGACCTTTTCGCTTTTCTTGGCAGTCTGCACACCAGTGAATTGCCCTGAGCTGACAGTCTGCTAGACAGATCACAACGCTGGCAGGTGTCAGGGCAGAGCAAGCAGGGGGCTAGGGCAGTGGCTGGATTCGGCTGGATTGGAGTGCTCAGACTGGAAGGTGCTGCACAGTCTGATACAGGGTCCCGGGGGCTGGCAGACTGCTTGGGGGCAGGTACCAAGGACTCAAGTGTCATGGTGAGGTCTGGCGAGGAGTCTCCTGCGAATGCACCAACTGCTCCAGTCTAGTGTCTGGTGGAGTCTAGCTCCAAGGGGCAGACGGGCCCAGGCATGGTTGGGCGGTGTCCCTCGCTGCGGGGGGGCTCAGCTGAAGGAGGAACACGGCGAGTCCCGAGGACCCAGGTTTCTCCGGTTGCCGGCGAATGCCATGAATGGATGGAGGAGTTGGAGCTAAGTGGGGGAATTTCCCATGCAGGTGGCAAACCTGCGAGAGAGGCTTCACGCTTACGAGAGAAACGCCCAGGATCCAGCCCCCCATGTCCCGGCTCCTCAGGCGCAGTCTAGCCCCTGGCAGGTGGAGCTGCTCAGGTAGGTTTCTTTGACCATCCATCTCCCAGGCCCACATCAGGGGTGTGCGGGGTTCATTTTACCCAGCTGATGCGTGTGAAAGCTGATTGGAAAGCAGCCGCCTTTCTTGACTCGCTGCGCACATGATCACTCCTGCCCGTGATGGAGCCAGATGGTCTCAAGCCCTGGTCTTGACCATCAGTGCTTCCCGGAGCCAGTCGGGCTGAGCGGCTCACTGAGGAGTGGAGGGAAGGGGCCCAGGCTTTTGCCAGACTAAGCACTGAATAGGGCTTGCTAAAGCTGACTGCAAAGGGAAGGTCTCCAGTTCCCTAGAGAAACCTTTAAGTGGTGGCAGCAAGCACCGCGCTTTCCATCCCCTTCTGCGCTGCCCCCAAGGACCTTGTCCTGACGCTCTTGTGGCTTCTTCCTCTGGCCCGCTGCAGGTCAGAGGCTGCACAGGAGGGGTCTCCAGAGCCGGAAGTCCCTGAGGAGGGTAACCAGGAAATGGTGATGCAGCAGCAGGAGCTGCAGGCGAGACCGCCCGTTCAGCACCAGGGGCTGGGAGCAGTGGAACAGGTGAGGGAAGGGCTGCTTGGCAGAGGAGTGCTCAGGCAGGGATGGGGTCTTGGAGAGTGAGGGGAAGAGGGATCGGTAAGGGGGACCCAGAACTGGGGAGACCCTGAGAGGCAGAGCAGGGATGTGGCAGTAACGGTGGAGGAGAGAGCAGCAGGGCAAGTAGAGAAGCTGAGAATTGTGGCCTTGGAAGAGGAACATGATCGTGGGGAAAGGATAAGAGGCTGCTGGAAGCTGTGTTCAGACACACACAGTCCCCCTCCCCCCGCAACTCCTAGCTGACAGCCATCCCAGGGCCTTGGTTCTGCGCTGTAAGGCAAGGGTCCGGCTGAGGAGCTCAGTGAGCTGTGTGCATGTGACGTGATGTGCCGTGCCTCCCCCAGTCCCTCGTGCTGCTGGGAACGGCCCCATCTGCGCTCTCTGTATTACGGGCTACAGCCAGGTCCTGCTCTCCTCCGTTAAACCTGTGCCTGGTGAGGGTGGCAGGGGCTGGCAAAACTGAGCCAAGCACTGGACACTAACGGCCCCTCCTTGTGATCAACGCAGTCTCCAGAGAAGGAACTTCTTGACCGTGCCGCTGATCTTCCGCAGAAAACCCGGAAACCAGGCGCTCTGCCCCGGGATCAGACAGAGAGGTGAGCGGTCCCTCCTGTGGCGGAATGAGCTGTGCAGCACTTCCAGCAGTGGGGCTGTGCCTGGGCTGCAGGGCGTGGGGGCTCGGAAGGGGCAGGAGCAGCCATAGGGATGTAGGGCCTCTGTCCTACCGTAGCCCACTGGAAATGTCAGGTGGGACACCCCGACTGGATTGTAATGGGGGATCTCTGTGAAATGCCCGAGGGAGACCCAAGCAAGGCCTGGCCAAGGTGCCGTGTGCAGGGGAGACTCCAGAGGAGGTCTCGGCGCCCAGGCGCAATCCCGGTCCAGCCCAGGGCACTTGCGGACTGGTGGCAACAGAGTCCCGGTCAGACAGGCTCGGCCGCAGAGCAGAATCAGATGGCGTGTGAGCCAGAGCTCCCAGGCAGAATTCACCTCGGGGGCCCTCTGCATGTCCTGGGCCGGTGCGTGCTGCTGGGATCCCTGCCCTGGGTTCTGTGGGAAGGTGACTGTGCAGAGGAGGCCTGGGGTGGGGGATTGAATCTTAAACCTGGCAAAGTCTGACCGGCAGCCTGCCAAGGAGCAGAGGCAGGGCCCAGCCCAGCGCCCCCAGCGCCCTGCCAGAGGGAGAGCACAGAGACCACCTGCAGCAATTCCTCCTCGCTGCTGTGGTCTGGCCAGACCTCGCCACCTTGGTTTGGCTCCACTGCCTGGTCCGCTCCGGCTGCGCCCCGGCCATAAGTGGAATCTGGACTTGAACCTGCATGTCTCGGCGCGGCGCTGGGGAGGGAACCTTGGTGCCTGGAGGGCCTGGACTGAGCCGCTGTTCAGCTTATTAACCAGCTCCTGGGCCAGGGCTCAGCTGACAAGGGGACACGCGGCGCTGGGGGGACGGAGCGAGGGTACGTGGCACTGTGCTGGGGGGCACGGAGCGGGGGGACACGGCACTGTGCTG